TATATATATATATATATATATATATATATATATATATATTAGTACTTGCATACCACATTTTAGATTAAATACAATTATTTTCGGTCAAAAGATAATAATTTATGAAACTTTAAGATTTCCTGGACATTCCTATTTGTCACTGACCCATGTAAACGTGACAAACATTGGGAATTTATGTTGTTTTAATTAAGCAGGAGAATTAAATATCTTTTACTTTAGTCCAGAAAAGAGATAAGAGAGGAATGACTATTGAAATATATTGTTTGTTGCCGGCTGTCCACATTGAATCTAATTTCTTGTGTCATATCCTTTGGATTTCTTACTTGTTTAGGTACTATAACTACTTTAATGAAATTGTGCTGGAATTTTCCCAAGAGCTGTTTTTCATTAAAAATTCCATACTAAGATTCCAGGATGAGGGTGAAATGTGGAAGATTTCTTGGTCTATAGGGCAGCTCAACTCTTTCTGTTTCCTGTTTGTCTTTCTCAGTCTCAACACGGTTTCATTCCCATGGGATCTTTTTGTAATCTATTTGCTATATGTTTCCAGGCTGTTGCATTTTCACCAGGCAGTAGTGCAGGGGATAGGCAGGCTTCCTGATGAGCTGCTCTATGGTAGAGTGGGCTACCTTTACTCCCTCATCTTCATTAACCAGCAATTTCAGCAGGAGAAGATCCCCATCCAATACATTCAACAGGTCAGTCACCATTCATTTGGCCTCAGACATGACCGGAAGCATATGACCTCGTATTTTAACACCGGATACTTGACTAGAATGAGTTATGAATGATAAAGACAATTTGTTATACTCATGATCAAAATGACATCAGTAAACGCCCCTGGTCTTATTGAAAATAATAATACTATTTTTTCCTCAAAATGTAATATATTTCTCAGTCTTTGAAATTACTTCTGTCATCTGCTGATGTAACCAAGAACAAGCAGACAGTGAAAAATACCCCAAATATTTGTTATTTATATAAAAAAAGCAAAAGATTATATTGTAGCCTAACTTTCATAATTCAATCAAATCCCAATGGATAAAACCAAGCCCTACATTATTTCTAGTGTTTACAAAGTGTGTGTTTTTCAATGGCTGGTAATGAAATGTAGAAAGCAGGCCAGATGACCAATATTCACCATTCAAATGTTTGTGTATATATTTATGTTTTAATGTAATATATATGTCACTTAATGGAAATTAAATGCATTGGGAAAGCACATGTTGCCTTTGATTCAGTACTTGACCTTAACATGCATTTGTTTCAGATTTGTGATGCTGTGCTGGCTTCAGGGCAAACCCTGTCTCAGAGGAACAAGATCCAGGATCAAACCCCTCTAATGTATGAGTGGTATCAGGAGGAGTATGTGGGTGCCGCTCATGGACTGTCGGGGATCTACTACTACCTGATGCAGGTGAACACAATCACTCATAGTACCTTATTGAATAAGGAAACAATACATTTAAGAAAATAATTTGACCACTTCACATCAAAGTCATTTAAACAATCTAATTTTGTCTCCCAATAGCCTGGTTTTGTTGTTGGTCAGGACAGGGTTTCCTATCTAGTCAAACCCAGTGTGAACTACATGTGTCAGCTGAAGTTTTCATCGGGCAATTACCCACCATGTGTCGGGGATTCTCGGGATCTTCTGGTGCACTGGTGTCACGGCTCTCCTGGAGTTATCTACATGTTGATACAGGCTTTTAAGGTACAAATCTCCATGTCAGTTTGTAATACATCTTTGTCCTTTGATTTTAGTTAAAGGGGTCCTATTATGCTCTTTTACAAAGTCTTGATTATGTTTTGGGGGTGTACTAGAACATGCTCTCATGCTTGGTGGTTCGAAAAACGCATTATTTTTCACATAATTTACATTATTAAAATACCTTTCTCCCCAGCCTGGCACAAACGGCTCGATTAGTTCCGGCTTTGATGAAGGTCCACCTTCCGAAAAACAAAATGTCTATAATATTGTGAAATATGATTGCCGTTTTCCATTTTAATATATTTTCAAATGGAATTGATTTATAATTTATTATGATTATATATATATATATATATAATCACAAAAATATTTTGTGAAAACTTTTTTTTTTTTTTATGCACATGGTGACTCTTGAATAATAATCAAATACCCCACTGTTTATCTTATTCTAGGAATGGCAGGCACGATTTATTTCCTGGCTGACTTGCTGCAACCAGCTAAAGCCAAGTTCCCTGCTTTTGAGGTGTAAAGGTAACTACACCTCTGCTTTAGAATGTTTGACTCTCCAGACATTAATAATGCAAATAATATTCTTGTTAACTTCAAAGTGCCTCATTCCAGTCTGTTCCAGATGACTGAGCTTTTTTGCTTAAGCTTCCTTGGAAGAACGCGTCCTCTGTTGGTGGAATAGTACTGTCTCACTCTGCATGTGCATCTGCTTGCCCGCGGGTCTTACCCAATTCACACAAAGTTTTATGAGAGGTCCTGTACATGTGAAGAACAGCATACCAGAGAGTTTTTTTTTTTTTCATGTCAGTGAAAGGTGGAAAGGAATCAGGCTGTATAGATGAGGGTCAATTTGGAACCATAAAGGGAAGCCGTTTTAATTAATTCAATATGCTTAACAGATTGCACTGATTTTGTTTGTGAACTTTTAATGTTACGTGTTTGTTAGTATTATTTTAGTTAATATGACTCATTAAAAATGAATTATTGTGATGTATAAGTTAGGAAATATTCGGATATGACAGCAAGGTAAAGTTTAACATCTTTGAATTTTTAAGTGACTGCTGTAAGTTAACACTAAAATACAGTGTTGATACGCTTTCTGTAACATTAATGCTTTGTTTTCTGTGATGTATTTTCCGTTTTTTTTTTATCTCTTGGTAATACTAGTAGTTAAATCAGAGGATGTGTTGCAAACGTTTTTTTAGGTGGTGGAACAGTCTGTTAGCATTTTCATTTGCTTTTTTCATCATAATTTGTACATTTTCATCTGCACAGCAATAAAAAAGGAAAACAGTGCTATGTCTGTTAACATTCTCTAATAGTAACAGTGTCAAGTCTTCTGGTGGTGTCTGCCACAGGTATTTTCCTCCACTTGGTGGCGCTATAAAACTGCAATTTAATATGATTTTGTACATCTCTTTAGGAAGTCAATGATCTTTTCATTTAGCTGTATTCTTTATGTGACCCTTATTTTATTTGAAACTGGGCAATGAAAGGAAATCAAATCCACTGACCAAAATGTAGACTAGCACAATTCAGTTCTCAATCCAGAGGTCTTTGTGTATTATAGTTTGTGATGTTTTTGTGGGTTTGTAAATTGTGAGCAATTTGATTAGTGTGAAGCACCTTAAAACGTTCAGTTTTTTGATGTTCCGACAGTCAAACCTTGAGAAAACTTGATTGTGGAAACATTTTGTGTACCAGTGCGCTGCCTCATTGATCAAGGTACTGACATGCTTGGCTTTTGTCATAGTACTAAAGGAATTTTATTCAGCAAATATGCATTAAATTATTTTAACATTGTTTAAAAAAAAAAAAAAAAACTATTTCAAATAAATTCTGTTCTATTGAACATTTTTTTAATCAAATAATCCTTAAAATTAAGTAAGACAAGGATCTCGTCTGATTTCTGAAGGATCATGTGACACTGAAGACTGGAGTTATGGCTGCCGAAAATGTACCTTTGCCAACACCGGTATAAATGAGATTTTAAAATATATATATATATATTAAAAATGATATCTTAAACATTCAAAGAAAGTATTTCTAAGCCCCTTTTTGAAGCAGCACATGCCCTTGATACGAATTCTAAAAGTGGCGTATGTTTAACTGTCAACTTGAGCTTTGAATCCGTGACGGAAGGAAGTAGTTCCCGCCTTCCTGTAGCGATACCAGTACAATAGCTCATTGTTTGTTTGAACTGATTAAACAGCTGCTTTACCACTTTTCCCCACAAGTCTTAAACAGTCAACATTTGTTTGGTATTTTCTTGCTTGTGCTAGAGAACATAATCGTCAGCTTTTGCTCATGCAACTCAACTTTATTAGGGCAAAAAGAGGATAATTCCATTTTTACTAAAACGGCTGATAATTTAATTTTTTATGAAAATTTAGCATTAAACTTAAACATGCAAATTAGAAGCACTTTCACCAGTGCTCTTGATCTTTTGGAGCCCACTATATATTTCACATAAAAAGATGAGAGAGTTAACGAATCATTTACCCTCACTTGAAACCCTCTGACATATCCAAATAAGGCTGATACTTTCTCAAGGGCTAATGGGCAATGCTTAGCCCATACGAAGGCTTTTTTTAAACACTGGACTCCTCAGTGTTGCTTCCAGCTGATCTGAGGTCAGTTTCGCTGTATGTGCGGTGTAATTGCACCAGCAGTCCCAGACATCTGAAGAACTGATCCTATGTCAGAACAGAGCAGCGTAACCTGAGCAGCTGCTTTACGATCTGGAGTTTGCTCGCTCAGTTGGACGTGGGGGTGTAAGGGGCTAAAGATGTGTCAACCACCCTTGAGGTGCTACCGACCCGCTCAAAGAAACTCTACACCTCCTAAAGGAACGGCTAAATATAGAGCTCATCTGCCTAAGGGCGAGGTCTTCAGCTCCATGACTTCTGCAGCCTTCAGAGGGAAGAGTCAATATTTCAGGGCAGGAATGGAATTCTCTGCTTTGGCTGCACTGCTAGTTTGTAGTAACACATCTAACTGGCAGAAGGACAGTCACACAGCATGTCAATACAAAAAATAAATAAATACTGAAATATTACCATATAGTCCAGACTGCAAAAACTGTAGTGATTTTTGTTTAAAAGTTTTTAAGAGTTTTAAGGGGTTTTTTTGGAAATAAATTCATACTTTTATTCAGCAAGGACACATTCAATTGATCAAACGTGACAGTAAACACTTTAATGTTGTTACAAAGTATTTCAAATAAACGCAGTTGTTCTTTTTTAACATTCCATTAATCAAAGAATACTGAAAAAAAATTATGTTTCCACAAAAAATATTAAGCAGTACAACTGTTTTCAGCTGTGATTATATTCTTGAGCAGTAAATCAGCATATTAGACTGATTTCTGAAGGATCATGTGACACTGAAGACTGGAGTAATAATGCTGAAAATTCAGCTTTACCATCACATTGTTTTGATGCATACTTTGCAAAATCGTTTAAAATAATCTTTATTCATACAAGGAATGTGTCATTTTATTTTGCTTGCACGTATATTTTCAAACATTTATCTGAACATTATGTTCTTAAAAAAAAGTGTTGGTCTGTCTATGGTAAAACACCCTGCTGTACTGCCACAGATAGGTTATAGTTATTTTTTTTATCTGTGTTTAAAAAAAAAAAATAGTAAAATTGACACTGCTGATTAAACTATGGGGAAAACAAAGGCAGTCTCATCAATTGGCAATAAAACTGTCAGAAACAAAATGCAGGACTTTATCTGATTTGCTTGATTATTTAAAGGGGTCATATGATGCGATTTCAATTTTTCCTTAGATAATGTGTAGGATTTTAAATGGGTACTTTGCAAAAAAAAAAAAAGTTTTACCCCTCATATTACTTAAAATAATGTGGATAATGATTTATTCAGCAGAATGTCCAGGCTGCTATTCAGCTCAAAAAAAGAACAAAAAAGTACCACAAAAGTAGTCCTGTCCAAATGGTGCACCACAACATGCCTTATGATAGATTTGTGAGGATCTCATGCACATACTATAGTCTTTAACCTCCCAATATTCTCTATTCTGTGTAATTTGGCTTCACAGCATAAACTCATATTACATGAAAGTAGAAGGAGATGAAATGCAGATGAGGATTAGCAAAAATGTTAAGGAGCTTGTCACAGCATGCACTGTGCTGCTACAAGTAAACCTTTGCTAAAAAAGCACTGACAGCATTACTCTAATGAGAAACGCAGAGCAACACTGTAACAAATGATCTGCTAATTGCACTAATGTTTCTAATGTTCGTCCTAGGTGTTTCACAATGACATTTTCATATAGTAAACAGCAGACCTCACATTTGTAACGTGATATTTAAACCTCATGTTGTGTTCTGGTCACTTTGACCTGGAGAGGATTTTCTTTTTCCTGAAAATGCTAGTTAATGTTATCGCATTGGCCTGATCATTTTGTACTGTTGTTTTTTTTTTCCATGTTGATACATTTGTAGTGTTCCCAGTCAAAAATGATTGGCCTTTTAAAAATTGCTTGAAAATCTCTCATTATGCGATATTATTAATAAATCGTTTTACTTGTTTTCTTGTTGTCAAACTTGTTCTTGTTTAATTAGCAGGTTTCATATTTCTTTTTGGAACTGATTGTTCATAGGCCTCATTAATCTGAGTTTATGTACCTCAATTAGTTCCAAAAATAAAATAATAATAATTACAAAACCTGTGCTAATTGAAAGACAACAAGCTGATAAAAAGATTGAATCCAATTGATTCGGTGATAACATCGATTCGCAAACAATTTTTAAAAGGGTAGTCATTTTGACAGCAAACTCCAAATTAGGCTTTTCAAATTAGGCATCTGCAGACAAAGGATGCACAAGCTTTTCTCAGAACTAACTTCACTTTTCTGAGCCATTTTTGCAATGACTTTTAATAAAAGTGTGTCACGGTAGTTTAGTGGATGTATGAAGTCAGTTCGCCTGAAGTTCACAAAGTGTCCAGGTTTACTGTTTTTTTATTTCACATACAGATTTTAAAGAATAGTATGCATATAGTGTATATGGTGCACAATGCAGTTAGCAACAGCATTCTGAACATAACCATGGTTTACTATGAATGTTGGTTTCGCTTTTAAGTGTTGTAACAACACCCAAATCTGCCATTGCATCACATAATCTATCAAAGCACTGCTCGCATTATTCATAATTACATAAATTAATTTTATTCTACAAAAAAAAAAAGCAATGGTATTTTACTAACCCTTATTTTAATAAAAACACTATTTGTAATATGCATGATTTCATATATTTTGAGAGAGAAATCTGGCCAAAATGCAAGTGTTTTCATGCTGTGGAAACAGGCTTTAAGGAGTGTTTCTTCCCATATAACCATAAGTGGCCGAGACCACCATATGCAAGTTAAAAATATCAGCACTGTAATCAAAAGCCTTCCTGTGATATTGTGTTGACTTCAATGTTTGTACATAACATGTGAGATCAGAATTTATATTCAAACATCCCTGGCTAGGGATTAAAATGCAGAAACCATGTAAAGACACAATACATCAAATTAAAGTGCTGACCAAAGCCAAGGGGTCCTATAATCAGCCTGGAGCATAATCTAAAAATACTGCCGCACATGTACATTGGAGAAAGCAGCAGTCTTCCTTCCAGCTTGACCTAAGAAAGTTAAAGAAGTTCCACGGTGTCACAAGATCCGCCCCGTGACATCATTAGCATAGCATAAATAAGAAGGAACTGGTCCATGGCTCAGGACCACTCTCCTGGGACTCCGGCTTCTTGACTTCTGCTCCTTCGCTCCTGCACCCCAAAACTCCATCATGGTGTGTACTTGGATTACTCTTGCTATTTTATTATACCTTTTTCATGTTCATCTGCCTCAAAAACTGGCAATAAGCCCACTGAAATGAAGTAGGACACCTTTCTTCGATTTTCAAATTCACTTTGGGGCGAGCCACAACGGTATCATATAAAGAACCTCAATCTGTTTGTCACTGTTAAAGAGAAAATCATGCAGCTGGTTTATTCCCTTGCTGGATATATGTGCACTTTTGAAGCAGTTATTTTGTTATGTCCAAAGAGGGCTTATATTTCCAAATGTCTTTTAAAATAATTC